TCCTCCTTGGCTTAGTCTCTTCTTAAAATGTTGATAGACCTCTTTCAATTGGAGAGATGCTTGAAAATGCTATTGATGATACTGTATAAGCAGTAATAGAAGGCAATTAGCAAACTCTTTAGGATATTAAAAAAGAGTACAAAAGAGTAAGATCAACCTATCGGAAAGAAACCTAAGAAGTGCTAGATTAGATTGATGATCAAGATATCATATCTCTAAAGTCTTCTTACAGAGGAAGCTACAAACCCTCTAGTTCGAGGTCATATTCTTCTTCCTTCAGATACTCACCATCTTCCTATACATATAAGCCTTCTACCTATATTTATTCTCCTATTCAGTATTCCTATAAGCCAACATATACATACACGTACAGTTCTTCCCAGTATATGCCCAAAGACATTGAATCGATAGCTTAAGAAACTGTTAGTAATTAACAAAATGAAACTTCTGTTCAGACTAATTAAACTTTTGAAGAGTTACAAAATAAATCAATTTCTGAATCAGAAGCAGTAACCTCTGAAGCAGAGATAATTAGAGAAGATTTCAATATTCTTAACTTGAAATCAAGCTACAAATCATCATCAAGATCAACTTACAAGTATCCTTCTAGATATTCTTCCTACAGCACTTATAAACCAGCTTACAAGCCCTCTTACTATACTAACACCTATTCTTACAAACCAACAATTACTTAAACCTACACTTACAAACCAGCAAATACTTATACCTACACCTATAGCTACAATGGGGTTTAATCAGACTATCAAGAACAATATGATCAACCAATGGTCAATTCCACTCAAAATGTTAGTGAAAATGTGGATTCTGTTAGTTAGCTTCAAGATGCTTAAGTACTTAAATCATACAGAAGAAGTTCTTATAGAGGCTATTATTCTGGAGGATCAGTATCTTCAGGAGCTATCGCTGGCATAGTAATTGGCAGTGTTTGCTTATGCAGTTTTATTATTGGGTGTTATGTAAATAAGCATGATAATCATAATTCTCATCATGAAACTCATGATGTCCATTCCCCATCTTCTAGCCATTCTCATCATAGTCATAAACATGTTCATAATTAAATGCAACCACAAAATATAAACGATGCCTATCCAATTTACTAGCAGCCAGATTTAAGTCAACCACAAGGATATCCTCAAGTATACCCACAAGTATATCCTACAGACTAAAACCTTACGTATTAATAGCAAAACCAGGCTATGCCAAATTAATAAGATGATTAGTCAACCTCAAAAGTTTGATCTTTTTGACATAAATTAAAAACATTTACCCTCAAATTAGCTTTAATCTCAAAAATTAAAAATATTTCATTGTTCAAGATAAATTGAGAAAATTTCCAATGGGGTTTTGGGGTTTTGGGGTTTTGGGGTTTTGGGG